AGGGTCTTCTCACTGGTGTTGTTGAAGCCTTCCAACAACTCCAGGGAAACAGAAAGCATCTTTCCCATGTTATAGATAAGAAAACTGAGGCTTGGTGCTTATCTGATCTCCAAGTTACTGAGTTAGGATGTCAACTTGGGAGTTTCTGATTCCTAAGAGGAGGCATGAAGGAAAGAGCGGAAGCCCAGGCCTGACCTTCTGAAAGGATGGCTTCAGAGCACATGCACTGGGAATGTGCTGTCCCGACTGATTTGGCAGGGCAGGCTTATTCAGGCGTGCACATAGGATGCAGGAAGGAAGCTTCCTTCCGGGATCTGACCTAGCCTGAGGAAGGAAAACCCCAGCTGGGAAGAGGAGATCAGTGTCTGGGGGGAAGGAGCTGGCTGGACTCTGCAGATACCTCGCAGTTTAAACAAATAACTTAAAACAAGCCAATTATTTCCTTTTCGTAACAAGCATCTTTGCCTTGATCTCAGCTCATTCACCGAGAGTGGTTGGGCACCTCATCAGCACATGACTGAGTGCTTACAAGGCAGAGGGAAAGGGACCTCCAGGCTGCGAGTCCAGTGGTCCAGACACCACTCTTGGCTCAGCCAGTGTGAGATCTTTAGCTAATCAATTATTTTCTTTCTGAGTTGTAGACTCCTTTTTTCACACGGAAGGGTACTGAGGATTTTCTAGGGACTTCTCTGAATTAATGATCCGTAACCCCACATTCACGAGGAACACATGGCTCCAAATGTATTTCCTGTCACACTGGCCCGGAAGCTTGCTCATTCTAGCACATTCTTTTTGTTCTGTTTTCAGACAGGATCTTGCTAGGTAGCCAAGACCGGCCTCAAGTTTAAGATCCTCTTGCTTCTGCTTCCCAAGTGCTGGGACTCAGGTGGGTCACCACGCCCAACTCACAGTTCTCAAAAGAGAGCAAGGCACCCAGAGCCCGCCAGTCATCCTTGGACAAGGCTCCACGCTCTCTCAGTAAGATGGCTGCTTGCCCTGGAAGCTCCCCCAACAAGGGGTCCAAGTGTCTGACTCCTGCTCAGATGCAAGCTTGGCTGACTGGTTACCGCCCTTCACGACTCCTGGAGCACACTGAAGGGGACAACTGTCACTATCTATGGCCCAGTGTTGGCTCTCCTCCCCAAGCAGTGAGTCACAGGGAACGATGGGCCCTGTCTCACTGCCAGAACAGCTGATAACACCAGTGGCCTGGTCCCCAGGTACAGAGTTCCAGCGTTAGCTGGTGAGGGGCTCCTGCCTGACTCCAGAGTTGACAAGGAGTCAGGGGAGCTGGCCTCAGAGCCCAGGGCATTGAGTTCTTCAGCCCAGGGCTGAACTCAGCATGGCCCTGGCTCGTCAGGCTTCCTGACTCCTTTCATACCCTCACAGTCTGTTCTCCTGGCAATTCCGAGAGCTCTCAGATATGGTCAAATTCTAGCCCATGTTATTGGTTCCTCACAACCAGCCCCTTGACCTTGTGGTCATTGAGACCCCATCAAGGTCCTCAGGCTGGAGACAGAATAAACCAGACAAGCACCATTGAAGTTAACCTTAGATGTTACTTCTGGTGAGTGTGGTGGTTTGAATGAAAATGGCCCCCATAGGTTTGAACACTTGCTCCCCAGTTGTTGGAACTGCTTGGGAAGGACTGGAAGTCATGGCCTTGTTGGAGGAGGTGTGTCACTGGAGGTGGGCTTTGAGGTTTCAAAGGTCTGCACCATTCCCAGTTATCTGTCTGCCTAATGATTGTGGATCAAGGTGTGAGCTCGGAGAGGCTGTCCAGTGCCAGGCTCCAGTGCCCGGCCCTCCTGCCTCTGCCATGCTCCTCACTATGATGCTCACGGACTCACTCTCTAACATCGTCAGCCACAAATAAATTCTCTCTTTTATAAGTTGCCTCGGGTGTGATGTCTTATCACAGCAATAGAAAAGTAATTAAGAGCAAACATCTCTGATGGATTCATTAAGGAGCAAGTCCTCAAAAAAAAATATAATGCATATGTGTAGTGACGGACAGATGCCTTGTAAAGCACTGCTGACCCATGACATAAACATAAAGGACACGCATGCTGAGGATGGACCTGGGGGCGGACCACTTGCCTGACATGTTTAAGGCCCCAGGTGCTGTGGGATAGTCTTTCCGTATGCTGTGAATATGTGTTGCTATCATTGGTTAATAAAGAAGCTGCTCTTGGCGATACATAGATTAATAGAAATGGGTTAATTTAAGATAAAAGAGTTAGTTAGCAATAAGCCTAAGCCATAGACCAAACAGTTTGTAATTAATATAAGCCTCCATGTGTTTATTTGGGACCAAGCGGCTGCAGGACACAGGAAAACTTCCTACACCCAGGCTTGATTCCCAGCATGGGGGTTGGGGCGGGGTGGGGGAGACGATACAAGAAAAAGCATTTGGTTTTCCTAATTCATCATCATGGAGCTATTTACAGTTAAAAACCGGATTATGTTCCTCCTCTCACCCATGGCATGCTGGACACCAGACACAGACACATTTCCTCATCAGCCCAAGGCTACAACAATCGGTGCCTAATCTGAAAGGCTGTGAAATGTCACCTGATTTAAGTCTGCTGGCCAGCCTCTGTGGAAATCCCCCTTCAGATGAGCAGTTGACAGGAGCCAGATGCTCAGAAAAATCATGTGGGGGGGAAATGTACTTCTTCTAAAACCAGAAGTCTTCCTACTCAGAGAAGATTTTTTTCCCCTACTAGGAAAGTTGAGAACACACTGGAGAATGGAATCTTAGTTTACGGACCAAAAAGTCGATGGTGGGAGGAGCCTTCAAGAAGGGCTCTCTTGGGATTCTCATGATGTGTTCCTTCCCCTCCCTGTTGGGAGCATGAAAAAAACAACAACAGCTTCTTGCCGATACTTGACAGGGAGAAGACTACCACAGCGCTCCAAACAGGAGAGTCAACGACTTGGAGCCCCACACCACGGTGCTGGGACGGGCTCTCTGTACCCCACATCACGGTGCTGGGCCCCGGCTCTCTGCACCCCACACCACAGTGCTATGCCGGGCTCTCTGCACCTCACACCACGGTGCTGGGCCGGGCTCTCTGCATCCCACATCACGGTGCTACACCCCGGCTCTTTGCACCCCTCACCACGGTGCTGCGCCCCGGCTCTCTGCACCCCACACTACGGTGCTGGGCCGCGGCTCTCTGCACCCCGTACCACAGTGCTGCACCGCGGCTGTCTTGCACCCCACACCACGCTGCTGCGCCCTGGCTCTCTGCACCCCACACCACGGTGCTGCGCCCCGGCTCTTTGCACCCCACACCACGGTGCTACACCCCGGCTCTCTGCAACCCGTACCACGGTGCTACACCCCGTCTCTCTGCACCCCACACCACGGTGCTGCGCCCTGGCTCTCTGCACCCCACACCACGGTGCTACACCCCGTCTCTCTGCACCCCACACCACGGTGCTACACCCCGGCTCTCTGCACCCCGTACCACAGTGCTGCGCCCTGGCTCTCTGCCCCCAGGGTGAAGACGACACATCCAGTGTTTTCTTTCCATCTACACAAGCAACCTCATCTGTTGCACACCTGTTAATTATTTCTATTGGCGGAGGCCGGGCATGTTTCACCCTATAGCGATCTTTAACCAATGCTGTGCCAGTGAGCAGGGACCACTGCTCTCTCACTTTTTAGAAGCAGCGCTGAGCCAGCAGCGAAGTGGTCAGAACGCAAAGAAAAAAAGAAACAAGTGCCAGCCCCAAATATTTGACCTGTCAGAAAAACTGAGCCAGAGTAGTGGAGGACTTGAGTTTCACTCTGGGCAGCTTGTCCATGTGAAAAGAGGTCAGGACGGACAGACGTGAGATGGCTGAGCCCTCAGAGTGCTGTTATCCCTGTGGTTTTAGACACCCCAGACTGGCTGATGTTCTCATGATAAACTCAGTGGAAGTAGAAACAGGACTGGGATGTTACTGAACTTAGAGCTCACTGCTTTAGCTAGACTGGCTGGCCATGAAGCCCCGGGGAGTGCTGGGATTGGGGGCCCATACTGCCACATCCGGCTTCTTACACAGGTGCTGAGAACTGGAAATCACCATCCTTGCCCATCCAGCACTCTACTGACTGAACCATTGCCCCAGCCCTCACATCCCAGTACTATGAAATGGTGTATCTCTGTTGTGGTTGGGAAGTAAGTTCATGATCTTTTTCTGTGCAACTACATAACTCTTCTTGACTTCCCTTCCTAAGTTTGTTAAAGCAACACAGATTCTCCAAGAGAGGGCAAGTCTCCCTTGAGAGAAGGTAAAATCCACGGGAGGGGATGCTGAATAGCAGCAGGCCGCACACCTCCTTAGCAGGGCAGTTCCTTGGCTCTCTTCCCTGTCTATTCCCCTAGGACTGGACTTGGGAGAGTGTCAACCAGCGGATGACCCTTCCCTCCTCAGGAACAAGAAAAAAAAATACAGAATTCCAAGGCCTTCCTTTTTGTCCAATGCCTCCCTTACCGGACAGCTAAGTTGTGAGGTTCACTGCCTGCTCTGAGGCCTGGCAACTTGAGAGGAAGAAAGCCTGAAAGAGGTTCTAGGTCTTGGCAGCTTGACATGGCCTCTTTAAGACAAGCAAGCAATTGTTTACCACCCGCCCTCCCCGCTGCCCCGTGCTTATCCATGGAACAGCATAGGCAGGAGGCAGAAGAGAGTTTAGGGAAGGGCCCTAGAGAGATAAAAATAGCTCTGGCTTCAGAGTGGAAATCCAAGCTCTGTTGAGGATACTTCCAGACAGTTTTTCCTTTGGCCAATCACTACCAGCAACTCTTGCATACCAACAGTGTCCTAAGAACAATGTTAACACAACAACAGAACCATGAGGCCTTCCAGGGGGCCCTGGAAGCCAGAGCAGGCATGGCTTTGGGTCTACCACAAACCCTTCATCTTGGCTTAGAGAATTTCTTTCCCCTCAGATCCCAGCTCCAAGCCCCAATCCTCTGAGGAGAGCTGTCCCAGGGCAGCTGACTCACCAGAGTCTCTTCTGCGTTCCCATTAGCTATCTCCACCACTCTCAGGGCAGGATCCACCTTCACCTTGGCCCGAGCCATGAACTGGATGACAGAGGAGCTGTCCTGTGGAAGAAATGACACACTTCGTGAGATGGATTTCAAAAGACTCGCCCACGAGAGAGGCTACGCGGAGCTGAACTCTCAGGGCTCCATGAAGGTTCCAAACGCATTTTCTCACTAAACTAGCAGCTTCCCCATCAGAGGCACCCGTGAAGACATACACTTTGAGCCTCTCTTGAGAAGTCCTTTGGATGGGGGAGAGCGCAGAGTCACCATTGATTGCGTTTACCAGAAGGGAGCATGCAAGCCTGCGTGCTGCGGTTTCCAGTGGTGAGGGCCAGATAGCTGGTGATTGATACTGACATATTCACAAAGAGTAGAGGATAAATAAAGCTGTTTAATTGTGGGCAACAAATCCCAGCCTGGCATTCCCCAGAAGGCATCTGACTCCCATTTCTAGTCATCTTGCCCTGACCACAGTCCTCCAAACCATGAAGGCTTAGTTATTCTTAACTCTTTCTCTGCTCTTGAATGAAGCTCTCTAGAAGCAGAGGCCACTGAGCATTCGAAGAGGGTATCTGATGGAATGATGCTGGGATGCGGTAAGGTGGGGGAGATAAACATCTAGTTTATAAATCAGGTCTAAGGGGCAAAGGGGGGGACCTCTGAGACTGCCCGTTGGCAGAAGCAGCTGGAAACCTTGCTGTAGGCTCAGTTTCAAAGCCACAATCCAGATAACTAGCACATGACTCCAAAGCAGGGATGGAGAAGATGTGGGTTGGCAAAATTCGGGCCTCAGGAAAAGCCAGCATCCCAGGCCAGATGGGGCCTTGCTGATTGTGGAGGCCCCTCGCTGCCCCTGCGGGATGGCTGGGCTCTGCCAGCCAGGTGTCTTTAGTATCTCCACCTGCTGATTGAGTGCCTCTGTCACTTGAGGAAGCCATGCCTGTGTGGAATTCAGGGTAGGCATCTGGTAGTTAGATTAGGCCTAGTCAAGAAGGTGGAGTGTCCATGCTGTATGGCAGTTTCCTGGGATTGAAACCTTTTCTCCAAGAGGGGATAGAAGGTTAATGTGATGCAGGAGGTAAAGGAGAGGTCACGTGTCTGGGAGAGTGAAACTAGGAAGAGTCTGGAAACCCCGCCCAGCTTTATGTTCTCAAGGCCACTGAGACAAAGGATCACCTACTGTTTACCCATTACCCAGTCCCACGCTCCCTGTAACACTAACAGAAAATGGGCAAACACCTACCCTGGCTAAATGTATCAAGAAACAACGAAGGCCTCTCCCTCTAGACATAAGTTCCAAGGGGGACTTTGCTCATCACCCAGGAAACCACAGAGACCACCCTGGAGCGCCACGAGGGGGCTTTCCATGGTGTACTTTACCTGAGGGTTGTGTAGAAATTATTGTTCTTTTAAAGACAACTTAAGCGTTTTATAAACATGTATCATTTGTCTGTATTACTGAGCTTTAATGTGGTGTTTCTAGACACTCACAGGAGTGCCGGGCTCCTGTGTATGTGAGCTCCACTTGAACTGCAGAGCTACACATGCACTGGTCACATCTAACATGGATATTAAAATTAATGTTAATTATGTATATTTGTGTGTGCGCGTGCGTGCGTGCATGTGTATGCGCACATGAGTGCATGTGCCTGCAGAGGCCAGTAGAGGGTGTTGGCTCCCGTGGAGCTGGAGTTACAGGAAGCTGTGAGTCACCATGTGGGTGCTAGGAACTGAGCTCTGTCTGGTCCTCTGGAGGAACAGTCAGCTCTCCAGCTCCCCCATCTTTTTTTCCTTATCACTCCCCTCCTTAATGAAAATACATTTTTAAATGCTTCTTGGAGGATGGTCATTCAAAAGAATATTTGTTTCATAAAATCTTCCAGCAATTTAATAATTTTTTAAATTTTGGTTTTATGTATCCTCTGTTTATTTTACATTTAATTAACTACATAATTAATTTGTGTGGTAGTATTGGAGGTCATGTACAGGCCCTAGCCTGCATGAGAGGTCAGTAAAGAGCTTTCATTGGTCAGTTTTCTCCTTGCATCATGTAGATTGGGGGGATGGAACATAGGCTGACAGGCTTGGCAGCAAAGTACCTTTACCACTGAGGCATACACTGTCCTCTGATACTGTATTTTCTCTCTCTATTTTTTTTTTGACATATAATTCTGACTTTTGGACAGAATTATAAGGACTTTTTAAAGATTTATTTATTTATTATGTATACAGAAGTGGGTGCCAGATCTCACTACAGATGGTTATGAGCCACCATGTGGGTGCTGGGAATTGAACTCAGGACCTCTGGAAGAGCAGTCGGTGCTCTTAACCTCTGAGCCATATCTCCAGCCCCGATACTGTATTTTCTATTATGAACCATCATTATCACCACCTTAGAGATTAACCGTGATAATGACGGTTAGGTTAAAGGCCATGCAGATGAAGGGCTGGCCTACAGCAGGCCCCTGGTGGCTGTGAAGAAGGCCTCAGGGACACTTTCAAAGAAATCCTATCCTGTGATGATTTAAAAAATCAGACCCAACATTTCAAATGAAAACTAGATGAGGTTAAAACAATAAAACCTCAAATTCCCTTGTCTGGAGCCAGACCTCGAGGTCAAAGGGAAATAAACACAACTCTAGGCTGAGGCCACAGGGTCTGTGCTGATCCAAGTCCTCGGGGAGACCCAGTGGCCCAAGGGTTGACTCTCCCAAAGCACTGTGCGAGGGTCCAGGCCTGAAACAGTTTCAGACGCAGAGGCAGCTGGGCCCCATGTGGCTCCCCAGCCAGTCTTGTCACAGGCTGCCCTCTGGACCTAAGTTCTGCTGGAGGGCCACTCAGAGAATGAGCCTCCAAGGCCCCGTGTGACACCCCAGAGCTGCCACCTCCCTTGCCTGGGGCTCCGTTGGTTTGATTGATTCAACAGTTCCTGGGATGTGGTCCTCCCTACATCTGGGAGGACTGTCACTCAAAAGAATATTTCATAAAATCTTCCAGCAATTTAGTAGTTTTGTAATTTTGGTTTCATGTATCCTCTATTTATTTTACATTTAATTAACTACTTAGTTAATTTTGTGTGGGAGTGCTGGGGGTCATCTACAGGCCTTAGCTTGTACAGCACTGGTCCTTGGAGACAGATTCGGAACAACCAGCTTGGAGCTGCTCACAGTTACACTCAGCCCCTGTGACCGAAGGCCAAGCAGCAGCCATGGGACAGAGGGTGAAGAAATGCCAGAGAGGTATTCACTGTTAGTGCCATTGCTCGGGGACAAGTGAGTGTCACAGGAAATACAACTGTCAGCAGCACTGGCTGAGACAGGCAGGCGAGTATGCCGACTCTCAGGGACCCGTGCGAGGCAGCGTCTCCTCGGAGGAGGATGGTGGAGTATAGTTCACACCTAGCCTCCTCTAACATTGTCCTGTAGAAAGTGGGTACACCAGGGAAGCCCTGAGTATGAGCCCAACTTCCCCAAACCACTTTCCAAAGTAGGGAACCCTGATGGCATCCAGCTCTCTGGAGTATGTGGAGACTGTAATAGCTACAGCAATGAGGGAAAACAGAGTCAAGTCAAACCCCATCCTCCAGTGCCTGCATCTCCTCAGGCTGGCACATCACTGCTGGGTCTAATTAAAAGCTGACCATGAGATGGTTCTGATGGTACCTGTGGATGGCTTTATACACACCATGTACAATTAGACTTTTCAAATAAAAATAATTAGGAACTCTGAGGCTAACACGTATATTTTACCTTCATGTCCAATTATTTCTATAACATTCTGTGGCACCAAGCCTCTCACACTCAGCAAGCTCTTACCTTAAAATAAATCACAGTAAACCTCTATTAAGGGCTACTGATTTGCTGACAGGGATTTGGAACCATATTTGATAAACTCGCAATAGCAAAGTGATCTGTGGTTCACAAGTTCAACTTCTTTGAGGGATCATTTGAACAGGCAATCAGGCAAAATGGGCTTCATGGGTCAAATCTGGCCCTCTGCTTGCTTGTGAAAGATAAAGTTTTATTAGGCACATAGCCATGCCCTGCATTTGAATATTGTCTGGGACTGCTGGCAGAGCTGAATGGTTGCAAATGACTTAATTAGCATGTGCGTCTGTGCCATATACACCCCACTGCAGCGATGAACATGCATAGCCCAACACAAAATCAACTTATTTAAAACACTGAGAGGTTGTTTGTTGTTTTCATAAGTCAATAAACATTCTCAAGCCTGACTTCATATGTGACCATAGCGTGTCACAGTGTCAAAAGACTGAACATTCATGATCTGGCCCATAAAGCCTAAAACAGTTCTTGCTAGCCCTTGACAAGAAAAGGCTGGCCAATCTTTGATCAAAAACAAACATGATCCTCAAATCAGCAGAATTTGTGAGCTCGTCAGAACAGCAGCATCTCAGATTCTATCCCCCAAAGAATCTGAGGTTTTATAAACCCAAAGAGGAACACACACACACACACACACACACACACACACACACACACACACACTCTTAGTTTTTCCAGACAGAGACAGGGTTTCTCTATGTAGCCATGGCTGTCCTGGAACTCACTCTGTAGACCAGGCTGGCCTCAAACTCAGAGCTTCATCTGCCTCTTCAAAGGCGTGCACCACCATACCCTACCTGCTAGCCCAAGGAAAATTAAAGAATGACAAAATGGATGGGCAGATGAGAATGTGGGAAGCTGTAAAGATGCTGACTGGCCAAGTCTGCATGTAGCAGTCCCAGCATTCTGAATTTCTAATAAACTCTCACCCATCCTTGGATTAATCTTGAACACTGAGTGTCTGGTATTGTTTCTCAGCAACATCTGGCAGAAGAATCACCAGTGGTGCATGTGGGGAAAGTTTGACAAGGAGCAGCCTGAGTGTTGCAGGGAACTGATTCCAGGGGTTCTGGGTAACTCCCCAATAGTGTGGCGGGCCGGCCAGGGACTCACCTTCTTCAGTATTTCTGTGTTCAGCAGCATGTATAGGTCTATGGTGCGGCTCTCTTCTTTAGGGAGGGCGCTAAGGTTGCAGCGCACTGTTAGACAGAAACTCCCTAGCTTTTCACAGTCCTGAGGAGAAAATTTCCAGATGGAATTAAGAGACGAACACAATCCAAAGCCATCTATAGAGCAGAGCATCTCTTATGGTAAATGAGGCAATTCCAGGATAAAGAAATCAAGAGGGAGGAAGAGACAGGTCCCGGGAGTGGCTGATAGCAGACCCTGCCCAAGATTCCATCCCCAGCTCCAAAACACAGAGTATAATAGGAATTAGGTGTGCCTAGTCACAGAATACATATGTCCTATAAAGTCATTTATAAAAAAGTGACTTTTAAACAAATATGGTATGAGGGGAGGTGTTGTGTAACCTGAACTATTCCCCCGATTTCTTCTGTTTAAAACTATATCTCATAATTCTATTACTGTTATTTAGTATATAAATTGTATTGCTATAAAAAATAGCTTAAAAACAAAACAAAACAAAACAACTATAACGTACCCCACCAAACTAAAGAAGATGTAATTATGCTCTGTCACCGCCAGAGAGCGGTGCAAGGATTTCTGACCTGGTGGGCAAAAGGGTTCTGCACCCTAGTCTCTGAGGCAGTCCAGGACTAGGCAGAAAGTGGTTCCGTGGTTAATCCTACTGAAAAGCTGTATTTCACAAGGAGAACCAATTCTTCTCAAAAAGAAACATGTACATGTCCTGATGTACTTTTACGAGTTTTGAACAAGAATACTTTCCAACTACGGCCAATTCTGTGAGAGTTGTGGCAGGTACTCATCATGTGCCTGTTTCCGGTGGGGGCCTTAGAGAACAAAAGAGCCGCATGACTCCTTCTCAGGGAGACACATAGACTGCTAAGTGAAAGTTTATTCCCAATGATCAAGGAGGAATTTTCCTTTTGTGTTTTGAAGTGTGTCATTATATGTACACACGTATGTATATACCTGTGTGACGTATATATATGCCCCTGTGAAGTTTCCCTTTCAGGGGACATTTTCAGCCTGATCTCTGACCTGGAGTTGTGTGTAGCACACAGCCAGATGTCACTGTATCTAACTGTCCCCTAGGGCCTTTAAAAAGGTGGGCCGCCCTTGCCACGTGCACCAGTGGTCAGCTTGATACAATCTAGAATCCAGGAAGACAGTCTCCACGAGGGACTGTCTGGATCAGGGTGGCCTGTGGGGGGCTGTCTCTGTCATGCTGATTGATGTGGGAAGACCCGCCCACTGTGGGCGGCACCATTCCCAGGTAGGGTGTCCTGAACTGTGTCAGAGTGGAGGAAGTGAGCTGAGCACAAGCAGGAGAGTGTTAACTCTTTCCATTCTGCTTCTTTGCTGTGGATGCAAGGTGACTAGGCGTCATGTGACTTCTGCAGAGGCTGCACCCTGGGAACTGTGAGCTAAAACTAACCCCTTTTCTTCTAAATTGCTTACGCCAGGGTGTATTGGCATAGTAAAAAGAAACAAAACTGAGATGGTATGCAAGTGAAAAAAAATCCAAACCTCTAACATCAGACAGTTGGGCTTCTCTATGGGGTGTGAGATGTGCCTGAGTGTGGGGTGTGTTTAGGTGGAAGTAAAGAGCTAAAGAAATGTAATCAGGATACGGGAAAGGCCGGCTTTGGAAAAGCACCAATGAGGTAAAACACACACAGTAAAAAGAACAAATTGTGAGTAAACATCTTATTTTATGTATGTTTTCACCTGGAGAACCACCCTGATCATGCTGCCGAACATTTTTGTCACTTTCATTATTTCTGAACTTCTTATACACAAAATATTCCAGAATGTTCGTTTGTTCTTGACATCTTTCATTTAGTGTAATTTCTGTGAGACTTACATTGTATAGTGTATGGAACATGAGTAGTTATCCTTTATTTTTCATTGTTCTATAATATTCCTGAGTATGAATATACATAACTGTTTATTCATTATGCTGTTGATAAACACCTGAATTGTTCTGATTTTAGCTACTATAAAACTGCTTCAAATATTCCTGTGTCTTTCAATGACACATGCATTCACTTCTTGGGGATAGACCCAGAAATGGTGTGTTTTTCTGGGCTGCAGAATACATATGTGTTTAATTTTAATAGAAATTACTAGACGGTTTCCCCAGTGTGTTGTGCAAGAACTATGACACTTTTGTAGATTCCTTCTAGAGGAGAAATCATTTACATCCTGTTTGGTGGACTGTAAATGTTTTCTGTTTGTCAGACAATGGAATTTGGAATATAAATTTAACATCTTGATTGAAATCCTGGCCTGAAAAATAGGATTTGATCACAGTCCTTGAATCTTTTTGAGCCCGCTAATGAAAACCAGATTTGAGAAGAAACACGGAGCGGAAGGACTGGCCTCTCGCCTCCGACGTGCCTTCCTGTGAGCCCGCCCTCAGGGTCCCAGACACTAAGCAACTTCTTACCAACACTTTCCTTCCAGATTTGGTGAAAAAGGCAAAGATGGTGTGGAAGATATTTTCTTGTTCTTGAGGGATGATGCAGGGGGTTGGGTTCCTTTGGAAAGAGCAGTTGCCCTTTTCTTGGCTCACCTGGAAATGGAGAGCGATCCGTGAGAGCCAGCAGGCTAAGAACAGGTCTAGAATCATCCAACACAGCAGCAGAGCACACATTCTCCTTGATACCATTCTCCAGAAGGCAAGGGTGTTTTGTGAGACAGGAATTTAACTGTGTTTCCCAGCCTGGCCTTGAGCTCCTGGCTTCAAGACATCCTCCTGCCTCAGCCCGCCTAGCAGCCAGGGCCACAGGCTTGCACCACAGCTCTGGCTGAGAAGTGTTTGAGGCATAAGTTTGTATAGAAAATGTGGCTATTAACTCCTCAAATGCAAACCAACAGCTCTAACCCTCCACATTCTGATTCCCAAGCTCATTTACATAATTCCTTTCAAACAGGCATTTGGGAGACAAAGAAGTTGAAGTCCCTTGCTAGCAGAGTTAAGAGCCCTGGTCTGGAGCTCAGGTCTTCTGGGACCTTAGGTCCATCAGAATATAAATGGGCCTCATGCATGGCCCACTGCTAGAAGTTTTTAGAATATTCCATGAAGCCATCAGGATGCTGTAAAAACCCTTAAGATCTTGAGAGGTAAAAAGGGCATCAAGAATTGCTCTGGGTCCTCATTTCTGCTCCAGCTGGAGTATCAGCCACATGGTGGGTACCTGAGATTTGGATATGTGGGCTCTTGCTCTTTCCTCTCTTAAGTATGTGGGACTCCCCTTGCCCTGCTTGTCCCTTGAGTGAACAGTACTGACAGGCCCAGAGGAGACAGTCTTCTACCTAGGAGGTCCAGTGAAGACCCCGGGGTCTGGCCACCATTCCACACAGCTGGTCTCTGTCCAGAAAGGCTCAGAGCCCTGCAGGACAGACACACTAACCCTCACTGAAATCAGAAGTGGGCAAAGGGTTCCTCAGTGCTCCGAAAACTGGTGCTTTGCGGTTCCAGGCAGGGAGAGGAATGGGATTGCCAAGCCATGCTAGCTGGTTTCACACAAGAGGCCCTGGTGTGGGAAGATGGTGCTGACATTGGCCGCAGGTGCCAGCAGAGAGGGGCGGGGCCGGGGGGCTGGGAGTGGCAGCCAAGGGGCGAGAAATAGCCAGGCCTTGGTGTCAACCTGGAGGGGCAGAGTCACAGCTCAGAATTCCACTGCTTCCTCCAAGGGCATCTCTAGGGTGGCATGTGAACAGGGAAGTGATGGTCAGGCCATCTGATGCCTTGTGACAATCTGACCCTGGTGGAATGTGGAGACAGGAAACAGAGTGAAGCCTTGTGGATGAAAGTCTTGGCTGTTGCACCCCTGACTGTGGGTATGTGGGAATCATTTTAATCAGGAAATAACCGCTTTTCTGGGAGGCTCAGGGTGGTCTTGATTCACCAAGAGAATGAAGGCTCCTGGGGTCTCCATAGGGTCTGATCTGGAGCAGCTAAACTCCAGCCACTCAGTTCCTGACCAGGGTCACTACAGGGAGGCGTTCCTCTAGACAGGATGGGTAGGTCACAGTCACAGACAGTAACACCCGAGACCAGCTTTGAATGTCTTTTGCATTTTAACATTTGATTCACAGTAGTCCCACGGGACAGGGCCATTTCTAGTGTCATTTTAAAGATGGAGATACAGGAAGAAGAGGAAGGCAGAGCAGGCCACACCCCAGTACCCACAGTCCAGCACGAAGGGCAGGAGCCAAGGATGGAGTGTGGTGGGAGCCAGGGAGGGCATTCATCCATCCTCTTTTTACCCAGAGTTCTTCGCGGTGACTCATTTGGCCACTGAACCCCTCCGCCCCCAAAAGGCTGACTCCTGGCCAGCCCATGGGAGGTGCCAGTGCCTGCAGCTGGGAGGCCAGGCCACTCTGTGCCGTCTCGGGGTTGGAAGGGGAACAGAGTACCCCGGAATGTTGTTTTTGGATGGCAGTAGTTCCCAAATCAGGCAGTCCTTGGCCTTGGCTGACAGATAAGGGACTTGAGGCCTTAGGTTCAGTGACTTGTCCAAGGTTACGTGATTGGCTGTGAGCAGCAGCCCACACCCAGTAAAGGGAACTCAGAGAGCAGATACTGCCCCTCCCACATTCTCTTATCCCCCCGCCCCCACATCACTAGTCGCACCCCACCCCCCCGACCCGCTCCAAAGCTTTTACATATGAGAAAAAAACCAATTCTTATCTTCCTGGCTCATTTCATTTAGCACGGTAGCCTCCCATTCCATCCTTTTCCTGTGTCTGACATAGTTCACTCATCTTTAAGGTTCAACAAACCTGTGTCTATAGAATACACCTTCTACCTCTCTGTTGGTGAGGTAGGTTCTATAATTTGACTATAGTGAATCATGTGGCACATTTTAAAAAATGTATGTGTCCATGTTTGTGTGCATGTACACGTGCATGCAGAGACCAGAGGCCGACCTTGTCATCCCCCGCAAATACCATCTCCCTTCTCTGAGACAGTCTCAGTGGCCTGGAACTCATCAGTTAGACTAGATAGCCTGGCTGGTGACCCCCAAGCATCGTCCTGTCCCCATCTCTTCAGCACCAGGATTACAAGTGTGAGCCCCCACACCCAGGTTTTTATGTGGGTGCTGGGGATCGACCTCAGGTCTTCATGTTTATAGGTGAGCATTTTACCCGAGTTGTCTCCCAGCCCTATAGACACACATACACTTTCTCTGTTTTTTGTTTGTTTGTTTTGTTTTGAGGCTTTTTTGAGACTGGGTTTCTCTGTGTAGCCCTGGCTGTCTTGGAACTCACTCTGTAGACCAGGCTGGCCTTGAACTCAGAGATCCATCTACCTCTGCCTCCTGAGTGCTGGGATTAAAGGTGTGTGCCACCACTGCCCAGTTACACTCTTGAATACTCAGTGGCTATAGTCCAGCTCTGTCGCCTCACAGCCATGACAACTTGGGTCTCCAGAGTCTTGTTTCCTCATCCATAGGATTAGCAGATTGGCCTACATGGTTACTCCTACAAGCTGATCCCATGTTTCTAGGATCACACTCACATCTTCCATGGAGCATGGGGGCACCTAATGTTTTTGTAAAAGTACTTCTCTGTGTACGTGTGAGTAGAGGGAGGCGTGTGTGCCCTGGTGCACATGTGAGGTCAGAGCTGGTTCTTTCCTACCATGTGGGTTCTGGGAATTGCCTCAGGTCACCAGGCTTAGCAGCAAGCATCTGTACTCACTGACCCATCTTCACAGCCTGGGTCACCTTATCTTCTGTTTTGTAGACAAGCAATTGTTGAGACCCCATCCTGTGTTCTGGTTAGTTTTGTCTAAGTGACACAAGTTAGGGTCTCTCTGGGAAGAGAGAACTTCAGTTGAAAAAAATACCGCTATCAGATTAGCCTTGGGCAAACCCACCAGGAATTTTCTTGACTAATGACTGACGTGAGAGGGTCCAACCCACTGTGGGCAGTGCCATCTCTGGGCTGTGGTCCTGGGTGCTTCATGGCTGAAGCATGGCAGCCTCTGCATCAGTTCCTGCTTCCAGGGTCCTGTTGAGTTCCTGCCCTGATTTTCTCCACAATGGACTGTGAACTGTAAGTCAAATAAACCCTTCTTCCCTCCCCAAGTTACTTTTGGTCATGAATGTTTATCAAAGCAAGAAAAAGCAAACTAGAATGCCCTCAACTTGACTTTAATCATCTTTTCTCAAAATCACCGAGAAATAAAGCATCCTCTCCCGCGTCACACCAAGCCCCACTGTGTTCATGTTCAACAGCCTCATCTTTCACTGGCCGAGGGCCCTGTGACCCCTGCTCCTTGCTCACCTCTGCCCACTCATTCTCATACTTTCCCAGACTGCTCCAGGCCAAACGCTTCCCATGACAGGGCTGTTCCTCAGCAGGACCCCTGGGAGTCAGGGGAGGTCCATGGCTATTGGAATTTGTACAAAGGAACTTACCAAACCCACAACCGGGGACCAGAGGACATGGGGCACATTGTTGAGGCTGGATTCTGCTGAGGCAGTTATTCAGGGCTCTCTGTTGTTATCTATCCCTCAAAACCCTGACCCCAAAGAAAACATGGTGTAAGCTGAAACCAGGAGATGGTGATAATGCAGGAGACTTAAGAGCCCATGCTGTGGAGGCCAAGAAGACATGGCTATCACGTGGTGGGACAGTCATCCTGCCATGGGTCTTTGGAGGAGCCTGGGGAGGAAATCCAGGGAGAAAGGAAGAGCAAAACCTGAAGGTGCACACAATAGCCTTGAGTTCAGCCTGGGACAAGCATCAGATGAAGGCAGGAGAGTTGGCCTGAGCAGAGGACTCCTGCTGTGGTGTGATAGTGCCCCGCACATTCACAGGTTGATGTACCTGGAAATGAGACCTCAGAGAGGTCACAGAATTAATCCATTCAAGTACAGTGGGGCTGGTGGATTATCATGAGATTGCTGTCTTTATCTGTCTATCTCTCTTTCTTTCTATCTATCTATCTATCTATCTATCTATCTATCTATCTATCTATCTATCTATCTATCTATCTATCTATTTTTGGAACGGTCTCACTATGTAGCCCTGACTGACCTAAAACTCACTATGTAGCCCAGGCTGGCCTTGAACTCATAGAGATCTACCTGCCTCTGCTTCCTGAGTGCTGGGATTGAGGTTGTGTACCACCATGTATGCTAAGACAGCTGTCATGACTCATGACCCCTCACCATCATTACTCTGTAACAAGAAGTCCGCAGGGGCCAGCACTGCACCCCTGGACTTTGTAGCTTCCTAAACCATCTGCCACACAAACCTCTGTTCTTTATGTTGTTTTCCACTTTGCACAACAAAGCAAGGGCCTGTAAGCAAATCTCAGGAGTAGGATGGTTCTGTAGAAGGATGCGGGAGCCAGGGGAGGCTCTGACCCAAAGAGGAGGACGTGTGGTCTGAGGTGTGTGGATTAACCCGCCTCAGCACCAAGGAGTCAAGTCCACTCAAGCCTGTAGAATACACTTCTTTTTCTTTCCCTTCTTTCTTTGTTTCTTCAGAGCTCTGGCTGGCTTGGAACTCACGATGCAGACCAGCCTAGCCTTGAACTCACAAAGGTCCACC